TGGGTGGTTGGCTGGATGATTGGATGGTTGGATGGGTGGGTGGGTGGCGGGGTGGATGGATGATAAATGGATAGGTAGGTGGGTGGATGGATGGAAGATGGATGTGTGGGTGGGAGGCTGTGCAGATGGATGACGGGTGAGTATGTTGGCAGATGAGTGAATGGACAGAAGGACAGACAGAGGGCTGTACAGGAGGCTGCATGGGGGATGATGGCACAGAACGCAAACCTGAGAGGAAAAAAGGCGCTGACCCCGGCTTCCCTGCCACCCCAAGAAGCACAGCACGGGGCCAGAGCCACTCTTGTTTAATGGTGGCACAGCCTGCAGTCTGGTTCCTCCATCAGGGCGCTGTGGGCATGGCCCTGAGGTGAGGGACAGGCCTGGGGTGGGGTGGGGGCCTGAGGCAGAAGCATGGGGGCTGACCCTCTGCCTGACATGGAGAGAGGACATTCAGAACCCTCCAGCCACAGATGGCCAGAAACTTTGGTTTGTGTTTGTTTTCAAGTTTCTGTCCTCAAGGAAGCTGTCCAGAAAGGGAGACGAAGGGACTGCTTCCTGAGGGAGCAGAGGGGCCAGAGCTGGGAGGAGCAACGCCAGCCGGAGACAATGCCCAGACAAAACTCACCAGCTCCAGGGCCACCCGTGGGAATGCAGCTGGGAGGAGGGTGCTGGAACAGGCTCCTCCCACCCCATGGGAGCCCCAGAGTCTGACCCCAGGACCTTCCCAAGCCCTCAGGAAGGAGAAGCACGAGGAAGGGGCCCCAGGGGTGGGAATGAGATCGAGAGAGCAGCAGCAGGAAACAGAGAGAAACAGAGTGGGAGATGCACGGCGGGGACAGAGGAGACGCCACGGTGCCCACCCACCTCGGGGGAGAGAGGGAGTCAGTTCTGAGCCCCATCAGGTTCGTGCCCCACCCTAAGAGGAGATAATTCAGACCCCAGATCAGAGAACAAAGCCCCCAGAAGGGGCTGGGGTTGGAAGTCCGGTGGCCTTGGGACAGGGTGGCCCTGCCGAGGGTCAGCAGGGGCGAAAGCAGCAGAGCAGGGACAGAGCCTCAGTCCCACGAAACCTTGACAGGCGCGAACTTCCAGAGGTCTGGCTGGCCCATGTGCAGCAGGCCGCTGAAGGGCGAAGTACTCCACTGGAACGGGGGCACCTGGTCCCACGTGGGACCGCTGGCCGCCAGCAGGCCCAGGATCCTGGCCAGCGACATGCTGGTCACCTGGGGACAGGGCAGAGCCGCAGCTGAGCAGGGGCCCTGGCCTGCCCCAATCCAGGCGCCCGGCCTCCTACCCTGACCTTGACCCCACAGCCCAATTCTGCACTGTCACTTTTTTTTTTTGAGTCTCTGCTCTGTCACCCAGCCTGGAGTGCAGTGACATGATCTCGGCTCACTGCAACCTCTGCCTCCCGGGTTCAAGCAATTCTCATGCCTCAGTCTCCTGAGTAGCTGGCATTACAGATGCCCGCCACCATGCCCGGCTAATTTTTGTATTATTAGTAGAGACGGGTTTTCACCATATGGGCCAGGCTGGTCTCAAACTCCTGACCTCAAGTGATCTGCCCACCTGGGCCTCCCAAAGTGCTGGGATTACAGGCATGAGCCACCATGCCCAGCCCATACTGTCACCTTTACTGTGACCCCAACCACAGCCCAATTCCGACTGTGATTCCTGCCCCACCATCAGCTTTGCCCCAACCTGTCTCCTCCCCAAAACTGGTGATGGTGACTCCCCCCACCCACAGCCCTCAGGCCCCCAGCCTCCAGGCCCTAGGGAGGAGGCAGCACCTTCACGTCGATGCCCCCGTGGGAGCGCTGACGCAGGGCCTGGAAAGGGTAGGAGCCATTGGCCGGGTTGAGGTCAGAGCGGGCAGAGATAGCATTCTCCCCATTGGGCTGTGGGTCGCAGGCTTTGCAGAGTGACAGGGGGTCATGGAGGAAGTCATTGTACCTGGATGGGGAAAAGGAGGGAACATCAGTCATCCCAGGAAGGAGAGGTTAAGACAGGGGCCCAAATCCTCAAGGGCAGCCCGGTTAACAGCCGCCAGCCTTCAGCCTGATGAGCCCCTCCCACCGCACATTGCCCCCGACAGTTCCTCTGCCTGGGGCCCGGACCCTTCACCTAAGTCACTCTGCCTCCATTATTCAGCTCTCTGCTCAGGCACCATCCTCAGGGAAGAACTCCATGCCACCGCCCCAGCCAGGTGAGGCACCCGCTTGTCCCCGGATAGCCTCTCTTGGAACACAGCCATCTTTACACATTGACACCAGTGCAAGAACTTGATGGATTTCTGCACCACCCAAGAGACAGGACAGTGGGGCACAGGTTTTCTACCTGTTGTTTCTGGTACCAAGCATAGTGCCCAGCAGTACAGGTCACTCAGGAGATGTCTAGCATCCTCCCTTAGCTATGGGGACTGTGACAGGACCCAAGTGGAGCGCGGCCACCGAGCTGCTGCACTGGTGTCCAACGTCTGACCACCCCTGCTGGCCCTCTGGGGCTGGTGGCAAAGTTTGAATGAGTTGGTACAAAGAGCACATAGGAAGTTCTGTGTTCCTGCGGCCTCCCTCTCCCCAACCCACCACCCAACCAGCACCTACCTCATCAGCCTGACCATGGAGTCCAGGTCTTGTACCAGGGACTGGTTCCGCCGGAAGATCTGGGCCCGGGGGCTCCCGTCATAAGAAAACCAGTCCCCATACTGGGCCACCAGGGCCTGCAGCCCACTGGCATTGAACACAGTCTCGAAGGACCTGCTGGGGACAAGGACGGTCACCCATGACCCCCACTGGCCTCACTCAGCCAAGGTTGTGGCCAGGGAGGGGAGGGGCAGTCACACCAGGACATTATCACTTACAACTATGACATTCAGACAGGGCGTAGTGGCTCATGCCTGTAATCCCAACACTTTGGGAGTCCAAGGGGGGCAGATAACCTGAGGTCAGGAGTTCAAGACTAGCCTGGTCAACATGGTGAAACCCCATCTCCACTAAAAATACAAAAATCAGCCAGGCACGGTGGTATGTGCCTGTAATCCCAGCTACTCGGGAGGCTAAGGTAGGTGACTCACTTGAACCCGGAAGGCAGAGGTTGCAGTGAGCCGAGATTGCGCCATTGCACTCCAGCCTGGGCAACAGATCGAGACTCTGTCTCAAAAAAAAAAAAAAAAAAAAAAACTATGCCATTTGGGATAACAATAATGTCTTTCTATTTGTGCTGGGGGGTGGCTTGGTGGAGTGGCCGAGCTTGGGTTCTGGGGCCCAAAAGACATGGCTTCAAATCGTGCCTTCAGTCTGGGTGCAGTGGCTTACACCTATAATCCCAGCACTTGGGGAGGCCAAGGCAGGTGGATAACTTGAGTCAGGAGTTTGAGACTAGCCTGGCCAACATGGTGAAACCCTGTCTCTACTGAAAATAGAAAAATTAGCCAAGCATGGTGGCTGGCGACTGTAAGCCCAGCTACTCAGGAGGCTGAGGCAGGAGAATTGTTTGAGCCCAGGAGGCGGAGGTTGCAGTGAGCTAAGATTGTGCCATTGCACTCCAGCCTGGGTGACAGGGTGAGACTCTGTCTCAAAACAAAAAACAAATCCTGCCTTCACCATTCGCCAACAGGGGAAACTTGGGAAAGTGAGGTACTTTCTCAGGGCCTCAGTTTCATCATCTGTGAGATGGGAACAGGAACTCTAGTGACCACATGTGGCAGTTTTAAGAGTCAAATGAGAAAATGCAGGTAACGTAAGTAAGCCTCAGGAGGTGACGGCTGTACAGCCCAGTAAGGCAGATCCAGTCACAGACCCTGGCAGGGGTCAGTCCCTGAGCCTGGCCATCCCACACCACCTTGCTCTGGGTGTTAGAACCAGAGGTCACATGGACGCTGACCTAAGCCACGCAACTACACTGCCAAACTGTCTGGGCTCTCCTGGCCAGAAGAGGGGGTAGGCTGGGATTCTTCGTTCTGTGGGTTTAAAAATATTGCCTAGGAAGGAGCTGGGCAAGGAGTAAGGTGGATGCCCTGGAGGGTGACGGGGAGCGGGGTGAGAAGGCACGCACGGTATGTTGTAGCTGGCCCAGTAGGTCTTCTGGTAGAGTTCCGAGGTCTTGTCGGCCACCACCACCATGCCGCTGAGACCGAGAAGAGAGATGGGGTGGAGGTGATCAGAAAAGGGGCTCCTGTGGGCACTGCCCTGCTCGGGGAGCCCTGATGGCTCCCCATTGGCTGGGGGAAGGATTAAGTCCTGAACTTCAGCCCCCACCAGGGACACCTTCTCTTCCAACCACAACCTCCTGAGATCGTTCCCTTACTGCACAGTGCCAGCATGGCTCTGGGCCTTCACCCTGGCAGTCCCCTCTGCCCCGAGCCCCCACCCCTCCCTCCCAGGATACGCACGGGATCTGCTCCAGGATGGTGAGCACCCGGCTCCCGGGGCTGGGCCCACCCGGGATGAACGCCTTGTAGTCCACAATCATCCACTGGTTGTTATACCTGCTGGGCAGGGGGAAGGAGGATTGAACGGAGCCTGGGGCCACCTCCCCAGCTCTCCCTGCCCCACAGTGTCCCACTCAGCTAGGTATCACAGGAAGTGGGCCTGGGGCTGTCTGGCCATTCAACTGACACCTTGACACTGCAGCATGACCAGGTATCCACAAACTCCTCTCTCGTCATGCTGCTTGACTGTTCCAGAATATTCTATGGCTCCCTAGGTCAGCTGCTCTGCCGGATGCTGTAAGACCTGCACTGCCCAGTTCCAGTGTCTCTGGCTCACAGGCCCTGCCACCCACCCACGTCCACCTCCTCAAACAGCCCTCCCCAATGTCCCCTTGAGAGTCTTCAGGTTCCAAGTGCTCTTCCTGTACTGCCACGAAGGCACTCCTTCCTAGGCTGAGGAGCCTGCAGGGGAGGGGCAAATCCTTTCCTTTCCTAGCCTCAGTCTCCCCATGTATGAAACAAAGGAGGGCGTGGGGTGTGTGGCCTGGGTGCCACATCTGGTCCCTGGGGGTCTGAGTGTTAAAGGGGAGGTTGGTCTATTTCTTGGTGCAGGGGAAGCCACAGGGCCAGAAGCCCACTCACGTGCCGCTGTTGAACCTCTTGAAGATGTCTGCCCAGGTGGCCCCATCCAAGGCCAGGCGGTTGGCCACAATGTTGCGTACCCACTCCAGCACACAGCCCCTGGGCCGCACATACTTCCACAGGGTTGGGTTCTTGTTGCCAATGGTGGTCTCCAGTGTTACCTGTGGGAAGGTCAAGGGGACCGTTGCAGAGCCTAGGCATGCTGCCACCAAGTGGCAGTACTTCATCAGTCATGGCTCATAATTTTTTTTTTTGAGATGGAGTCTCACCCTTGCCTAGGCTGGAGTGCC